TTTTGTAGTTTTCTTATTCAAAGACATACTTTTTCAAGTCTAATTTTCTTGTACTTATGTGGAAACAAACTACTACAGAAGCGATAGCTCAAATGATACAATACAATCTTCAAAGATTCATTTGTGAAGTTTTGCCCAGCACCGTAATTCATAACGAACGGACCAATCAGCGTCCTAGAGCACGATAATGGGAGAAAGTTGGAATCTACTAGAGTTTTCAGACTACCAATGAATATATTGTATGTCGCCCCATCAGCTTAGAAAGAATCACTCGGTATTCTTTTAGGAAACTGAAATGCCTAGATACTGCCTTCAGAAGTGATATTTTGTAGATTCTGAAGGAAAAAAGTCCTGAAAGGTTGAGCATTAGCGTTTTTTTTTTATTGAAATGTCTTGAGTACTTGAAAAATAGGAGAGTATCATTCTTCTTCTAGATTTCGGAGTAAAAAAGATATGATAAACGAAGTATTTACCTGTATGATCCGATACTGAATCTCACCATAGCTTCCAGAATCAGGATCACTTGCCACAACCTAAAATAGACACGCTTCAGGGTACATACAAATTTGGACACATAGATAGAATTGACGTTCAATTAAAAGGTTCCGACCCATTTCCACCAAAAAACGATAGAATATCTTCACCCAACAAAAATGCCTTACCTTAACCACAGGTCGCTCATCTCCGAAGGAGGTTACATTCACGGTATAGATTGGTAGCTCAAACTGCGGTGGGTTATCGTTAGCATCCAAAACATGAATAATAATGGTCACTGGTTCGCTACTCCTTATCGGCGTCGTATCAACTTCTCGAGCTTGGACCTCAAAATTGAATTATTGATAAAGGAAGAACTGTTTTTGTTAGAAAAAACTTACGTTTAGCCGGTAGGAAGATGGGTTTGGCGGATCGGCATCGATTGTGGGTACATTGAGGTAGAGATAACCACGCTGATCTACAGCGAAGATAGTTGCACCCGGTCCGGTAAGGATATACTGGTAAGTTGCTGGCGGCATACCAGGTTGCTGAAATGACGGTTTGGTGGTACTGTACGAATATGGTAGGATATTTGTACGCGCTTGGGTAGGCACTATAAAAGAATTAACATTTATT